TAGGATACCTATATAATTATATCTTAAATCGTGATTTGTAAATTGTGATTCTCGTTATCTTCAATCCTTATCACGGTCATTGTTAACGTCTTATCACAAAACAGTCTTATCAGCAGTAGTTGTAGTCGTTGATCATAAATCGAAGTTCAGTAAGTTCACTCTTCACTCTTCGTTTTTCTAAGAGGTAAATTTTGAATAAGAAATAAGGTGCAAATATTTTAACATTTATTTAACCATAAGTTGTAAGTTAAAACCGAATTCAGAGTTTAGTACAGCCGTCACAAACGCCTACTGCACTTGTTACTGCAAATCGTTAGACCGACGTACTTCCACGTTTACATAATCATCATTTGTCGTGGTAGTTATTAATTATACGTAATTTTTATAATCTACTATTAATTGTTCTTTCCTTGATTCTATAGAAACTRAACGCCGTTCAAATAGCTATGATTTGGTAGGTTGATTGAGAGACAAAGAGAAAACCAAGATTTTTGTCCAATGAATTCTGAAAGTCCTGCATCGATTGGCGTTTCATTTGCTGGTAATATCGGTGAGAAAATACCGTTAATGAATCGCCGCCGACAAATGTTTGACTATTTCACGCGCATGTTTGGAAACTCTAGTACTGGCTCTGAGGAAACATCCAAGGATGGCTACGTTGAATTTGGCAATATTGGAGAGGCGACCAGTGGCCGTACATTGGGCCCGTTTGCTGGTGTGTTTGCGCCTGTTTGTCTGTCCATGTTTAGTGCCATGTTGTTCCTGAGAGTGGGTATGATATTAAAGATTTGCCTATGAATTAATTTATACATTTTTTAATAAAAACATTTGAATAGGTATTATCAGCTGTCGTAATTTGTTTGCTTGTTTGTTTTTGTTTAGGGTTTGTGGTTGGAAATGCTGGCCTTATTGAGACATTATTCCAATTTGCTATTGCTTACACTATTATTGTTTTTACTGTAATGTCTGTTTGTGCTATATCAACCAATGGTGCTGTTGAAGGAGGTGGTGCTTATTGTATCCTTTGTTTTTAAGTTTTATGGTTTAATCATTATTTATTTTACATTTTAAAATTGTTTTATTTGACAATTTATTTCCTCATAATTATGAATATTATTTCCTTATAACAGCATAAACAGTTATGATAAGTAGAACATTAGGACCAGAACTTGGAGGATCTATAGGAACATTGTTTTTTTTGGCAAATATTGTAAGCAGTGCTCTCTGCCTTACAGGATGTGTAGAAGGACTAATAGATAATTTTGGAGAATCTGGTATGTTAAATTTTCAACTAATTGTGTAAACTTTGTAATTTTGCATATTGGTACTTGTGCGTTATCGCGACTACCGCCGACTCGTTGCGACTACCTTATTTTCACTTGTGCATTATCGCGACTACCTTATTTTCACTTGTGCATTATCGCGACTACCTTGATTTCGAACGCAACATATTTTTAATGTGTTTATAATAATACAAAACTACCCAAAGCTATAATGTCAATGTCTTTATTGATAATA